GAAGTACCGTAGTCGTAAACATTTCTGTCTTTGTTGGAAGCAACAACGCGAAGCCAATCCCGCACATTGTGCTTCTTCAAGTACTTCTTAGTCAAGTACTTGAGGTACCTGTAACCAATATGCAAAATTTGAACATAATGAACACCATGGCTCACATTATCTCGAAGCTTATGCATAGAAAGATTGCAGCACGATAAAAATCAAACATGTACAAAGCAAATGGTTGATAACTTGAAGCGACTAGGGTGCCATTGCAATAACTCAGCAGCGGTATACCTCAATCCTACAGTACATCATTCATCAGCATCGTTAAGAATGAGATAATACATTAACCGGATAATGTACCGAACTCGTTTCTGAAGTAATAGCTGATTACTGCAAAAATGTTAGCCTATCACTTATTATATATATTGAGTTGGAAAATTAAGAACTATGCTACATAATATTGACTAATTCCCCAAAAATTTTCAACTTCTTACTGAACTAAATAACAATTATAAGCGCTTACTGACTCAAAACTCATAACTTTAATTTCATTCTCTCTTTTTTCTCCAAGAGGAAGTTTAATAATTCAAAATCTCAGAGTTTATAGAGTCCATAGCGCGTAAGTTCTTCCACTTTAAGATAAGCCAATCACTACCTCCATGTTGCCAGAATATCATATTTCAAATTTTGTTCCGAGTCCCTATTCAAAATCCAAATAAACTCATGGTTTCTAACTGAAAAGACACATTTCTCAAAATTTCATCCAATTTATCAGTCACGACTTCGAAATTATCAGGTTTTTTTCCAACTACTTTCCATTTCAGATTCAAGAAAACCCCAATTGAAAGATACAAATCAAAATACAGGATAGAGCCTTAAGCTGCTTCAAGACATTAATCCATCATATCTACTTACCTGTTATCCTAAAAAACCCCAAATGTAAACCGATGAACTGCAATCGTCTACCTCCAAGAATTAATTTAAAGTCTAAAACTACAAACCCTAAAACCAAGTTATAGTCACGAATCTTAACTTTAAGCAAATTACAGACCCTAGATGTAAAAGAAAGACAGTACCTTTTAGAGAAGGCGGACTCGGCATTGACAGTGATCTTATTCTTGTCACGGACGACGGTGACGGAATCGCCGAGAGCGCCGGTTTTCCCGCCGACCTTGATCCTCTCCTGGAGAAACTTCTCGAGAGAGGCAATCTCCATAATCTTATCCTCGACCGGCTTCCCGCAGTCGATCACGAAGGTGGCTCCCTTCTTCTTCCCCTTCGCGCCACCAGCTGCTGCTGCGCCCCGACTCATTTTGATTGATCTTGCTCTGTAAACAACTCAATCAAAAGCCCTAATATGGAGCAGAAAACAGTCTTCGTTAGCAGTCTCTTCAAATATATAAATGGTGAGAAGCGAAGTTAGTCCTAGGGTTTTGGTGGGCGTATGTTGTCTGAATGGATCGACTGAACCGAACCGGTTCGGTTCAGAAATTCGTCCGGTTTTTTTGTAATATTTAAGAAAATAAAACGAATATATTGTAGATTTGACATTTTCTTAATCACAAAATTGAAAATTAAAATATAAATGTTTTTTCTAATTCAATTGGTATTTATCATTATTAATTTATTAAAATAAATAAATATTATTATAAATTTTTAATATTTTTACTAAAAAAATTTATTATGTATTTATTTATTGGGGTTATATTAATTAAAAAAAATTAATTATTATAAACTATTTTTTATTCTAAATTATAATAACTCGCTTGTACATAACATAATTTGATAATTGTAAGTTTGTTAATATATTAATAAATTAAATATTATATCTATTAATTTAAATTTATAATGTTATAAATTATATAATAATATATTAATATGATAAATTATATGTTTTTAATAATAAATTTTATTTATTTAATAAAATTTAAATTTTAATATATAAAAATAAATAATTATGAGTTTGACTGTTACATTAGTAATAATTTTAAAAAATTTTAAAATTTAAAATTATTAATATATTAATAAATTAAATATTAAATATATTGATTTAAATATTATAAATCATATTAATAATACATTCATACGACAATCTCTATATTTTTAATAACAAATTTTATGTATTTATTAAAGTTTAAATTATAATGTCAAAAGTATTGTTAGGAACTTGTTAGTGATAATTTTTAGAAAAAAATTTTATTTAAAAAAAATTAAATTTAAATTTAGCTCAAATGTTTATTTATTTTTTTAACTTATAAATATATTTTTTCAGACCAATAATAAAAATTTAAATAAGAAAAAAAAAAAAAAGCAATTAACAGCTTTCTTGTTTCAAAATGACATCGTTTTGACACATATTTGTGTGGGGTCCAATTCTACGTCCCCCTTTCTGGCTTCCTCCCGAAGGGAAGTGAAATTACAGGAAGAAGATGGAGGAAGAGCTCTACGGAAACATACCCTGTTCCTCCCTCGCGGTGGAATCCATAATTCGTGTAGGCACGGTAATCGAACACTGAACTTTGCTTTTTAATTCTCATGAACAGAGTACCAAACGCTTCGCTGCTCTAACTTCAATTCAAAATTTCAGGCCGGTGCTATCTGGGGACTCTGCACAGGACCACGCGAGGCTCGTAGCAGGGGTTAGCTGTCTAATCATTTTTCTGCTTATTAATTCGTATTGAACCGCTTTTTCGACTTCTTTTTGGCTGTAGTTTCCGCCATAGCTGAGCTCCTTCTTATACAGGTCTAACTGGCGTCTCTCAAGCTTCCTTTGTGGTACGAGAGGAATTTTGCTTTACTGGTTACTATCAGTTTTGACTAACCACGTGTTTGCTTTTTGTAATTTACACATTGTTCCGATTTCATTTTGCAGGCCAAGTCTGTTGGCAAATTTAGCTTTCAATGCGGTAAAGTTTTTAACGCTGCCTCTGTAATTAGGGTTCTCTATATCTGCAGGAAATTTGGAGATCATTTATGACTAGCTAATGCATAGAATAGATTATTATATGAACATGGAGCTTAGTTAGTTTCCATAAACTGGAAAAAGGGTATAGAATAACGTAGGATGTTTGGATTAGTAGTAGGATTGCCTTGTTTGATGAGATAAGAGATTATTCTGATATGTAAAAGATCAGATCAGAGTTATTATTCTACCATTTTTTTAGCGGATATGTCTAGTCTAATGCTTGAAGGATTGTCATCTTCATGTTCACATCAACTTCTGATTTGCATTTCTCCTGCTGGTTTTACTTCAGGTCTTGTAGCTGGTATTTTTACCATGACTCATTGTGGGATTCAAAGATATCGAGGACGTAATGATTGGGTTAGTTGTATTATTGAGTTCCTTATTTGTTTAGGTTTCAGAATATATGCATTTGCCTGACAGTAACACAAACATAATTTTTGGAATTGTTATCTTGTTGAGGTGTTTCATTTTGAGGCAACTTTTCAGGCAAGAGAGTCTGAATAGAGTAGGAGATAGTAAAAGTACACATTGCTTATTTTTAGGTTGTGAAAAGGTAACTTTGGGGTCCAGTATGAATTGTTTGATTAATTTAGCAAGCTACATTCGACGTGGAGAAAAACCTGTAAGTTGGATGTATTGTGTCGTGGGTTCTAACACAATGCCAAGCATGCTTGTTAATTTGAAATGGTTGAAAAGATGTGTTTCAAGCTTTGCTTGGTTTACAGAAAGGGAAATAATCTGAAGGGACCCTATTTGAGAAACCTCTAGGATTTTTTTTTTCTCATCATGGGAAACCATTCCTCCAATTGAGCCAGAGAGATAAAATTTTCATAAATTTGAAAAGCACAATACTGCTTATTTTAGTTATAACTCTCAGTTTATTAGATTGGCGTGTTATAATTGAATTATCGTCGAAGCTGCTTGTCCCTGACATTAGATCTGGTTATGTTGAGCACTAGGTGGTGCCCAGATACATGATGTGTCAACGGTGAATTTTGTTTTAGGGAGTGAAAAATCCAATATGGAACACTGATTATGGAATTGAATGAGGAGTGTCTGTCATTGAATCAGGATTATAGGCCTGTTGTTATTGTAATCTTTCGCCTTTAGCTATGATTTCAACCTATGAGAATTAATTTTTGGTGAAGTGGGAGCATGATTGATATAAGCTTCTGTTGAAGATGATGTCATATTTTGCAAGACTTTCTATTATCCAGCTCAGCTAACCATGTCATGTAATGATTCTGATATGTTATATCTCTCACAATTTCTACTTGAAGAAACAGTCGTTAGTTATGTCTGGATTAAAAACTTGTAATAGTTTTACCCATATGTTTCTTTCGTCAGTAGTTGGTTAGATGTTGGTACAGTCATTTGTTGAAACAAACATACTAATGATTGAAATGATTGAAGAGAGTGCCTTGGACAACATGGAACTGTAATTGATTTGAGAGAAAATATACATGGCTAAAACGTTTGTTTTCCCTCTCCAAATAATTTACATTTGTTTTTCAAATATAGTATTTTTGTGATTGAAACACAGATTTTCCCATTTCCTTCGTTAGTTAAGCATGTTATGGTGGGAGTTGAACCTGTTCACAGCTTCCAAACTAGGCCTTAAGTCATCTGGGTATTTGCTGTCACTTAAAATCACTGCTCCATAAATTTAAAGAGATGTTGTTAGCTATGGGAGGTTGCATGCTTAGAATCTTAGAAATCTGTAAGAAAACATCTAATAGTATTGATGACAAAGCAAACAATTGTGGGATTTTCATGGATTGAAGGCGCCATTCCACGAAAAAGATACGATGTAGGAGATTGCCAACTTTGTTGCACTAAACTGACTAATAACTTTAAATGTTCTTGAGCGCCTATAATCTCCCCATTTAATTTCGTAAGATGAAGATCCAGCTCCTTATTTGTATCGCTACAAACTAAATTTACTTGCTCTCCGACATAGATTGATTGCCTTCTCAACTATTACAAGCTAACATGTCTAATTCTTCTCATTGCTCAGGTAAATGCTTTGGTTGCTGGTGCTGCAGCAGGGGCAGTTGTTGCGGCTGGGACAAGAAGCTGGACTAATGTTATTGGGACCGCAGGCCTGGTATCCGCCTTTAGCGTGGCTGCTAACTACTCCAAAACAACTTGAATACATTGCCGTGCTGGCAACAATCTCAGGTATAGTCATTGAGGAAGGAAGATGATCCTAATTTTCGTGGATGTTCTTATATCAAACACATATTGTTCTTCCCAAGAATATGTTGAAGTTATTTTCTGAGTATCATGATTTCGGCTTGAATCTCAGGTATAGTCATTGAGGAAGGAAGATGATCCTAATTTTTGTGGGTGTTCTTATATCAAACGCATATTGTTCTTCCCAAGAATATTTCAAAGTTACTTTCCGAGTATTGTGATTTCGGCTTGAATCTCAGGTATAGTCACTGAGGAAGGAAGATGATCCTAATTTTTGTGGGTGCTCTTATATCAAGCACATATATTGCCTCCTTACTCTTCTATTCTTCCCAAGAATATGTCAAAAGTTATTTTCTCGAGTATCGTGATTTTGATTCAAATCTCAGGTATAGTCATCGAGGAAGGAGGATGATCCTAATTTTCATGGGTGTTCTTATATCACCTCCTTACTCTTTTGTACTTCCCAAGAATATGTCGAAGTTATTTTTTCGAGTATCGTGATGATTTTGACTCGAATCCCTCTCTAGTCTTTACCTTTTCTTTCTTGCTAACTGTTTTCTCTCGACTCGAAGGTTGTTGGAAGGTGGGTAATTGCCTCCTTATCATTAAAAGGAGAGATTTTGAAGAATCCAAAAGGACTTAATCCTGAGATTGATTGCTTTTAATTATGCAGAAGTCATTTTGAGTTCTTTTGTTTACAGTGATAATTATGTCACACACTTGTGTTAATCAAGAATGTAATTGATGTTTAGTTCTTAATGATAGTATTAAGAAATTAAAAATAAAAAATATATTTATAAATGTAAACCAAGAAAGAAACTAATCCCTACTCACTCCCTCCATTCACCATCTAATATTTATATAGAAATAAATTAATTAAAAATATTTGTATCATTTAATTAATTCAATATTATATTTTAGGTATATTTTTATAAATAATGTATATGATGTGATTTTATTAATAAAATATATTAATTAATGTTAAAAAAATTTTAAAAGAAAATTGATTGTAGGAAGGGATAACTATCTCTTTCATGCATGCACCGCTTAGTATGTATAATCTATCTACGTCTCGGTACTTGATATATCTATGTATATACATATATGTGTATATATATATTGTATACTGTATACTTATCTATATCATGTTTTATATTATACTTATGATTGGGACGACTATTATAAAATCAGTTCTCTATTACAATATTTAATTTAATAAATTTTATTAATATATTAACAGGAATATAATGAATAAATTTAATAATATTTTTAAATAAAATAAATATTTTATAATTAATTATTTTAGTTAAATATTTACAATAAATTAAAATTTTAAAATAAATTTTTTATTTATAAAAAAAATATTATTTATTAAATTACAGATAGAAAGGCATGGGCCTAATCCACACGTTTCATCTTCCTCAACCTTCGCTTTGGGCTCCTACTTTCATGAAGAAATAATCATCTCCCTCTTCTGCCTCTGCTATCCGAAAAAGTGCTTTCATATCTTCAGCTTTTATCTCTCTCCCCTCTCTCTCTCTCTCTCTCTCTCTCTCTCGAAGGCTTTCACATATTCAGCTTTTACAGAAGCTCTTCTCTCTCGCTATCTCTCTAGAAGCGGTTTCTCTTCCTTCTTCCTCTGCCGCAAATTTCAGCTCCGCGCATCTTCAAATCGTTTCTCTCTGCTTAATCAATCAAAATCATGGTAGTCGAATATCAGGAGGTATAGTACAGATATACATATACATATATATTTTTTATATTACATCTCGATCGAATTTTTTGAATATTCCCTTTCTCTTCTCTTCATTATCGCGTATCTCGCTTTCTGCTTTAACATTTCGTTAATGGAGGATTCCTACTAATTGAACTATACATATATATATATATATTCGTATTAATTTGAACTGTGCATATATATATATATATATATATCCACACACATACAAATATACAGGGATATATTAGGAATTCAAGAGGAGTACAGCTCTTTACTTGCAGATGGTTGCCTTTTTCTACTCCCAAGGCTCTTGTTTTCCTCTGCCATGGTACTCTTTAATGGATTCGTTTTAGTTATTTTAGTCTCTGTTTGGCTGTTGACTCATTGTTTGATTCATTTTTGAATTATTTGTTTTCACATTATCACATTTCAGGATACGGCATGGAATGCAGTGGTTTCATGAGAGGTAATTTAATAATATCTACTCTTCTTCTTTTTTCTTAAAAAAAAATATATATATATATATATATATATATACTCTTCTTCTCTCATACTATATTTATATGCATATACTATATATATACACACATGTATATCTAGCTTTTTCCTGGTATTTTTAAATTGTTTTGCCTTATCATCTACTTGAATCTTTTTCAAGCAATTGCTTTAATACCTTTTTAGGCAAAAAGTCTCTGTTTCATTAACTTTTCTCTCATCTTGCACACGCAGAAGAAAGTTAAGCAGTCAAATTTAATAGTAAAGTAATACAGTAGTAGTGTGGGTGTGTTGTGTGTATATATACATATATATATATGTATATATATGCGTGGAAAGCGTATCACTAATTCAACACTAAAGAAGATTTTAATGGTTTTCAACTTCTCAGTCACCTAACATGCATGATCATTAAAATTTTGTATTGGGTTGTTTTTATTTCACCCAAGTGGGTTGTTTTGACTTTCTATTCATAGAAAATAAAAAGCTATTACCCAAAGATTAACTTTTGCCAATTTCAGAACATACATACATATATATATATATATGTATATGTATATGTATATAGACACATATATTTAGATACATGAATCAACGTACTCCATATTTACCACTTGCTTTATCACATGCTTACAATACATTAAGTTGAAATTCACTTCTTCTCTTTTTTAACTGTTACTTTTTAAATTTTTTTTACCGAAATCATATGGTGTGACAGTATCTAAATATTAAAGTTAGTAATTGAAAATTAATAATCAGACAAAACAACGTAGAAGATAAAGTTGGCAAGATTTGAAAATCTGTGCCCATATTGTTATATTATAATTTACAATATATAACAGGCTTGAGATGTATCTATATATGGATGTGTGTATAGTTTGTCCTTATTATTGGAATAGTAGACCAGGGGCTGGCCATGAGGTGAGTGATCACTGATCACCGTGCATTGCATCTTTCACTCTTCGACTTTTTCATTTATGATGATGGAGTGGCATTCATGGCTTTTTGTCTGTCACCATACGTGAGCGAGCCTTCTCTCTTTTACCATGAGACGCCCATCACCCTCCAACACACCATCTTACCCAATGTAGCCTACACGCACAGACACACACAGACACACACACAGACACGCACAGACAGACACAGACACAGACACAGACACACACAGACACACACACACAGACACACACAGACACACACACAGACACACACAGACAGATATATAAACACCCATATGTAGCCTATATACACAAACAAAAATATTTATTTTAAAATCCTCCAACTTTTTTTCTAAAAGTATTGGAATTTACTTTCAGATATAAGATTGCACGAACAATAACTTTACTTTTATAAATAGGGTAATGGTGGGTTCTGATTTTCCAAATCGGTAATATAGAATTAATTAATTTGTGGGTCAACCGGATAGGTTGGTGAATTAGGTTACCCGACAATCAAATTGTTTAAACTATCACCTCCTCTCATCAATACTTAATTTTGTATTTTCTTAATTAAATAAATTATAAATAATTTGATTAAAAAATTTCGGAATTATAAAATTTTGTAATATATTTTTATTAAAAAAATTATATTATAATTAATATATATATATATATGTATCACTTAATTAATAAAATTATTTATTTGTAGAATGTGGAAGCAGGTTAGCCTCCGCGGGGTACGCTGTGTTCGGGATGGACTACGAAGGGCATGGACGGTCCAGAGGTGCTCGATGCTACATCAAAAAGTTCGATAACATCATTAACGACTGCGATAATTTTTTCAAGTCAATTTGTGGTATACGTACATATATACACACACACATGTTATATAATACGTATTTAAAATTTCACTATATATAATATAAAATATTTAGGTTGATTTTCTTAGGTACGATTAAAATTAGTGACTCCATGCGTGCAGCACAGGAAGAATACAGAGACAAAGGCAGGTTCTTGTATGGAGAGTCGATGGGAGGTGCAGTGGCCTTGTTGCTCCACAAAAAGGACCCTCGGTTCTGGAACGGCGCCGTTCTGGTCGCCCCCATGTGTAAGGTAACCTTAAAGGCCAACTCTACCTGTACATATACGTATATTTATATATATGTATTGATTTATGTAGCTAATCATTTTAATGTAGATATCAGAGAAAGTGAAGCCGCACCCAGTAGTGGTGAATATATTGACAAGAGTGGAAGAGATCATACCCAAATGGAAGATTGTCCCCACAAAGGACGTCATTGACACTGCTTTCAAAGACCCTGTTAAGCGAGAAGAGGTTTTTATCTCTGCGGTCTGCCTATATATATATATATATGTATATAGTTATATATACTAATATGGGAATATGTATATATATGTATGTATATATTTCATTTGATTTTAGTTATGTTCAATAGATAAGAAGCAACAAGTTGATATACCAAGACAAGCCAAGGCTGAAAACAGCTCTGGAAATGCTGAGGACCAGCATGAACCTAGAGGACACTTTACATGAGGTAATCATAATACTATCTTACAGTACAGTTATATTTGTTTTTTTATATATATAATATTATAAAGAATCAATATTATACAAAACATTATTCGTAATAATAAGTATAGAATTATGATAGAGGTACATATATATATATATACATATCTAATATGTATTGCTGATGAACAGGTGAGAATGCCATTCTTTGTGTTGCACGGAGAAGCAGATTCAATAACAGAACCAGAGGTAAGCAAGGCGTTGTACCAGAAAGCCAGTAGTGAAGACAAGAGTATCAAACTATATCCCGGGATGTGGCACGGTCTCACCTCTGGCGAACCGGATTATAACATCGAAATCGTTTTTGCCGATATCATTGCCTGGCTTGACCGTCACATTGTCACTGCTACTACTATTAATTCGACTACAGAAGTAGCAGTCGGACCCATGGACAATATTGATCGTAACGATAATATTATTCAAATCGATCATTGTGATGAAATTACAAAATCTACGGATCATCGAGGAAATCACGACTCTCGTGGCAGATTTCGATTGTGCGGATGGAAGAAAGGTTCTCGTGTTCGATTTTTTCATCAATCTGCAATGTAAGAATGTATAAGATCGTGTAATTATCAAATCGAAACAATTATATCTTTCTAAGACGTATTGAATATTTGAATTATTAGTAAATTATTATATATATTTATATTAAATAACTAAAATTTAATATTAAATGAGAAATAAACAACCAAATTAGATGTTGTCGTATTTTTAATTTAATTTTCATAAAATAATTTAATTGAAAATAGATTTAAAAAAGCATTTATAATTAACATGATAATAAATAATATTCAATATCTATAAAAAGAATAAATATTGAAAATCATTACATGGCCCAGAGTACGGAGGTCTATAAATTAAATGGGCCCGTTCTTCTTTCGTGCTTTTAAACAGTCCGCAGACCCAAGAAAATACACCCTCGGCGCTCTCAGTAATCTGCACCGTCTCGAACTCCTCCGTGCTTAAACCCTAACTCTGTATTTCTCTGAGCCCTTCCTCTTGTCTATTCATTTTTCAAATTCCATTACACATTTTCTCTATCTGAACCCTATATCCTCTCAATCTGCAGGTTTGCCTGAAATAAATCCTACATTCGGTCGCCATGAGGTATGCTCTCCCTCTCTCTCTCTCTCTCTCTAAGCCATTTTCTCATTTCGCAGCTGGCTAGGGCTTGTTGTCTAGCGAATCACTTGGTCATTGAGTTGCGTAAGCGCGATTTAACGTTCTGTTTCTCTTTCTCTTTCCTTTTCGTGAGTACAACCGTGTATGTAGGTAGACATTAGCAACTTTCTGTAATGGCGTTTTCTGCAATTGAAGTACATAATTCATGAAGTTATGCCGTCAATTACGAAACGTCTTAAATGTTTAAGGTTTTTAAGACTTTAATTACCTTGAAATCATATGTATTGCTGACTTTGTTTACGACAATACTTATTTGTTGCTGGTTACAGTCTATTGGTTAGTAATCTCAAAGGAAGGCATACAGTCGTTTTTGTTGAGTCTTATCAATGAACTACGTCTCTGAAATCATAGTATTAAATATTCCTTAAGTAAAGATGTCAGAGAGCCCTGTTTGTTGAGTCTTATGAGTAAACTTCTATGGAAAAACCATGACTGATAGATCTCAACTCTTTTCCCTTGGTTTTTTGTTTTTCATCTCTTTTGCAGTAAGCCAATGGATGAAGATACCACTGTAAGTCATCTTACTTCTCTACCAGTATGCTTGCAAACTACTCTATTGACATGATCAGAAGGCACAATTTCACACTTGGTCCTTTATGACAAATATCCCCTCCCCTCCCGATACACAAACACATTTATGGTTGTTATTACAAGTCTGCAACTAAGGCTTTTGGAATAAATGTTAAATTTGTGTGGAATTCTTTTATCATCCAGTTTAACTAAAAGACGGTAAGAGTACTGCTTAAAATAATAAAAATTGAGTTCACATGAAACTTGTATTAAATTGGAGCGACGTATTCTAAATTTTTTTCAATTTTGATTGGATTTGAAAGATAATATTCCAATTCTATATGAAATTCAATATATACTCAATTTTCTTTTCAATCTTAGTACAAATTTCACCTTTTAATTAAACTAAGCATGAATTTGCAAAGGAATTCCACATTATTTCTGAATTTGTTCTGGATGTAGCCTAAAAGCGCCTGTTGATGGATTGATTTCGTGGACATTCCCCTTTTATGTTTCTAGTAACCCAGTCCCTATCTTCTAAATCCCAATTACACTGTGCTGTTTGTTTGACTTTGGTTATTATTAGTCATTATGTTATGTAAAATTGTTAAGTAATGTGCTGACCTAATCAGTCATCAGTACAATCTGCATTGAATTAAATCTCAGTTTTCTTAAATATTGCAGCATTATCCTTGTATCATTTTGTTTTGTAGGTTTTTTGACTGGATGCAGTTTGTATACAGAATTTGAAGTTTGTAGTGCTTAACTGTAGCTTTCATGACAGGGGAAGAATGAGGAAGAGGAATTCAACACCGGGCCACTCTCAGTTCTCATGATGAGTGTCAAAAACAACACCCAGGTATTTGTTATTTTAATAACCACTGGTGGGATATTATTGTCTTTCACTTTCGAATTTTGATAGAGTGGTCCAATTGAAGTACTGGCTTGATTGGATGTTTGGAAAAATCCCAAACCCAGTCATGGGTGGTTTAATGGTTAATCAGGCTGTAGTTTACCTTCTAAAGTGAATTCTGTGCCCAGATTAACTTTTCTACTGGGCATGAGGACATATTATAAATCAAATATTGTTTTTGCATCCGAGCATGGCTAGTAAATATTGTAGATGTTGCTCCTGCCTAGCCCAATTCTAGAAATTCCTGAAGAGCTCCTTTCTTTCAGTACTCTTTGCCTGGAGTTTTCTGTTTCTGATGATCATAAATTGAATTGTTGAGTGATCATGGATTTCAGGTTTTGATGATGGATTTGTGATTTTATATGTTGAAATTTTAGGTGTTAATTAACTGCCGAAACAATAAGAAGCTTCTTGGGCGGGTGAGGGCATTTGATCGTCACTGCAACATGGTTCTTGAGAATGTCAGAGAGATGTGGACTGAGGTCAGTGATTCACATCTGGGGAATCTTTCTTTGTTCCTTCATCTCTTGAGATAGTATTTGCCAAAAAATGCTTCATCTAAATTTATATATATATATATATGTATTGCTTTCACTTGCTTCAGGTGCCAAAAACTGGAAAAGGAAAGAAGAAAGCTCTTCCCGTTAACAAAGACAGGTTCATCAGTAAGATGTTTCTCCGAGGAGACTCAGTTATCATTGTCCTGAGAAATCCAAAATGAGATATAGAAGTTTCTTCCGTCTGCACTAGGTCAGACACCGCGATGACTAATATGACCTTTGTTTTAAAGAAGCAAGAACAAGAAACTCGTACGCCCTATGTGCGATTTTACTTGAACCTATTCTAATACTCAAACAAAACCTCTAGTTTTTCTAAATTCTAGATGGATTGCTCATGTAGTAAAGTTATTTTTCTTTTCAAAATTAGTATATTAACCGTGATATTTACGGTGGGATCGTGTTGTCAAGCTGGGTTGGACGAACCAATTTTGCACGAAATGTGCCTTCTTGCCCTGTGGAATAGCTCTCTTTTGGCAACATTAGACCAACCCGATGAGCCTGCGGGTACGTGGAGACAAAATATAACATAAAATTATGCGTGCCTTACAGAATAGGAAACTATTGTACTCCAGAAAGCCAATAAATCAGATTGTTGGTTGGTTGTCTACCCCTTAAGATTTGGAATTGTCTACAGGTTTAATTCCAAAGTCGGCAAGGTGTGAATCTGTGGCCGTCTTTCAAGTTGTCGTGCAAGAACTGACGCAACATGTGAATTCGGCGGGTATGCCTTAAAACATACCTTACGCTCTTTCCGTGACAAGCGGATTTGAATTTGATCATTCAGCATGCATGATTTTTTTTTTTTTTGTTATAAAGAAAAAAATTAGCACCGTTATTCTGAGATTATATTTGGAACTTGATGTAATTATGAAAAAATATGAATTTTATTAAAAATGATGAAATTAAATTTTTACAAAATTTCACGGGAAATTGAGAAAGTTAGTTTTTACCATTTTTAAATTGATTTTTATTATTCTTTTAATTTTTCTTATATAAAACTTATAAATTTTTCTTAAATGTAACTTTTTTTTAGGAGAAATTAAGAAATTAAACTGAGTGCTAATCCGTTCTATCTATCTGAATTTAAAAAAAAAAAAAATTAATTTGTACTGAATGTTTCTTTTTACTAAATGCGTAACACAATTTAGTTTTAATTTTACTAAATTAAACATTACAAGTTAGATATTGTTATATTGTCTAAGTATGCTTTTACAGTTCTAATACAGTTATTAGTATATAAGTAATTTTTAAGGAGATGTTACAGTAAAATCATATTGCTGATACAAAACTTTATGTTAATGGTGCTTGAAGAATTTACTTTGTCATTAAAGATGTGATGAGGCATTTGGGTATAAATAACTATCTTTCTTTGTCCAAAAGATTCTCAATACTCGGGAAAGAATAAACAAAAATGTACAAAACCACATTAAAAATAGTAAATATATATGGGGTAAGGTGTTATTTCTGGGCTTGCCCCCCAGTTTACTGTCTTCTAAAGTCGAAGATAAACAACAACAAAACAAAGAACCAATTAAAAAACAAAATTAAGTATGCAATAAATTTGTTTTTTTTTTCCCAAAAAAAAAAAAAAAGATAACCCAAAACCTACTCCAAAGAGATTAGACAACCTTCAGTTTCTCTGCACTATTCCTGCACCTGTAGATTAAAATTTTGATCTCGGTCTTAAATAAAATCTCTTTGTTCCTGCACTTTTCCTCCTCCCTTTACTTGCTTACGAGCCTATAGGTATTATACTCATGTTTAAGATGTTGTCAGAGTACTGGCAGCGGCTTCTTTTCGGTCACCGAATATGCGTTGCCGGAAATCTTTCACCATTTGAGGGAGACCTTTCCGGAGAGACACCTTTGGTTCCCAACCCAGAAGCTCCTTAGCCTTTGTGATGTCAGGCTTCCTCTTGTGCGGGTCATCTTCTGTGTTCGGCCTGAACTCTATTCTTGCATTTGGATCAATTGTTTCTTGAACCACCTGTACCGACACATTTTTGTTTAACAAATCAGACAGAAAAAGTTACTCTAGCAATCGATCCTAGCATTCTGACACAAACCGAGTTTGGGGGACTAGATCGATCAACTTGGCATTTGCACGTAACAGAAATGGTACTGGATTGAATCTGATAAATTGTGAAATAATTTACTCTAGCAAATTACTCTAAAAGTTGATAGGAAAGAGTTGAATCTATTGTTTATACATTAATAAAGCTTCTCCTATTTCATAATTTTATTACTAAAGTTGAGTAATTTAACTATCATGCTCACTCATATGAAGCAGGAATGTAATCTTATTCATATTCTGTACACTGGGTAAACCTGGGGCTTTCTCCCCACCCCCAAACCAAAAGGAAAAAAAGAAAACCCAGAGCTAGGGAAAACCTATTAGTATCTTTTAATCTGACAATGAAAAGAGCAAAAATTCAGTTTATGGTGCTGTCCAGGAAAGTAATATACTCACCTTAGCAAGCTCAAGCATGGTGAATTCACCAGGATTTCCGAGATTGAATGGCCCGACATGCTCCCCTTCCATAAGGCGCATTAAGCCCTCCACCTGTTCCAACATGCATAAAATGTATTTAGCAAATGTAACAATTAAATACTACTTATAAGACTACCTGAAGATACCAAGCTCGTTCTCGGTACCCCCTCTAAACAGTTATTCTATGCAAAAACTTCTATCATACAAGACTAGGTTTTGAAATTAGTAAAAACTTCTATCATACAAGAATAAGTGTTGACATTAGTTCTACGCATAATTTTTTTTTTACAATAAAACAGTTCTATCCTTGAATTAGGAAATACATATAACACCAGCCAATTTAAAAATTGGACTCACCACTGAACTAAGTCTCTGGTGCATCACGAACAATTTGCTCAACAAATTTAAACAAACCATATTTACTACTTATAGATTAAAGGGTCACCAAGGACCCACACTCATTTATTCATGTACTGCCATGTTTAATTGTTTGGAAGAAGAGTAGGCAGTGCATTTGGAGCAGAATTGATACCAGAGTACTGACAGTACGGCAAAGGTAATAAAGGTGGTTGGCCCAATGAGGTCCTAGTTTGGTTATGATCACATGACAGGTGTTTCTTGAGTGAAACAAAATGTTGCCCCAGAAAAACTTGGATGTGCCCAATTTGGGTCACCTCACCCACTGCCGTTGCTGGTCAGAGATTTTAATATCAAACCTAAAGATAATCACATAAAGTATAATACTAGGAGTTTTATTATCGTATCTTGAAGGCACCATGTCTTCGGGTAATCTTCTAGTATTTCATAGTAATTCAGACAGTTCATATTGTAATTCAAGTAATTTTCTAGTACTTTGTATAGTGTTTCGTATATGAACTTACTAAATTACAGTAAAATGTTAGACAGTTTTTTTAGGAGATGCCATGCTTGTAACTTATAAGGCATTATAGATTTTCAAGAAGACTTCTTGGACCTGATTTTGGTATGCTTGTGACTTATGAGTGGAATAGTATATTTGGCTTAAAGCCAATTCAAGTACACATTTCGACTTCGATTGAGTATAAAGGAGAGGATCTGTCAATTTGCCAAGGGATTAAGATTTCCAAGAGGGTGTTCCCTAGACTTCAGAGGGGAAAGAGCATGAGTGAGATTTCCCATATATCCCCCAACTGGGTCAATTATGCATGTTTATGCCAAGTAAATTCTCGAGTTTTGTTTCTTAATTTTCAAGTTCGTTTTTAAGTTCTGTCAAACTTTATGAAAATTTGAAAAGCATTTGCTCAATTCACACAGATAGTTCTGAGTATGTATATATGAACTTGCACACAAGCAGACAACATGAAAAATACAAAATTCAGTCGTTATTTTTTTAAAAGGAAAAATTACCCTGCATTAAAAGAAGAAGAAGAAGAAACAGTAGTTCTTACCAGATCAGAAACGTACTGGAAACTTCTTGTTTGCTTGCCGTCACCATAAACAGTTAAGGGTTCCTTCCTTAATGCCTGGCATTGTTGCAGTTATGGTTAATAAGTAATTAATTAAGTAATTAATCAATTATTAAACCCCTTAAACAAATTTATTAGATATTAAATAATCACATCCTACCGTCATACCAGATCGATATTTACATACCTGAGCAACAAAATTGCTAACAACACGACCATCATCTATGCACATTCTGGGCCCGTAAGTGTTGAAAATTCTTGCAATTCTTACCTGTAAAACAAGTATTAATTAAAAAAGAATTAGCAGTTTAGCTCCAAAAAGAACACTCTGTATTACTTGTATACAGAGGTAAATAATTATATCACAATACTTTATGCAATACTAAAGCACTATAAAATTTTTTTTAATTAAAAATTCGTATATTTTATTTATTAAATTATGTATAAAAATTAATTATGATCCAATGAATAATTAAAAAATTAAAATACTAATTAATAAATTTGCCTTTATTAAAAGTGAAAAATCATAAGAGGAAGAAAAAGGTGGCAACCAACCTCGACTTCGGCTCCTCTGTGGTAGTCCATGGTCAGAGTTTCTGCTGTTCGCTTTCCCTCGTCGTAACAACTGCGGACACCTGTCAACCAAAACACCAGCCATACTTTTTATTTGTTATAATTAATTAAATACATTATTAATCTCGCATTAATTATAATTATAAGTTAATTAATTAAACACAAACTCCGCCGGATACAAAAATTCAAATCCCCAAATTTTACCAACACATGTTCGCCAGCCAGCCAGCCAGCCACCCACACAGCCGAAAGTACTTGACTTTTCTTTAAATCGGAAACAATTTTTGACCGAATTTAAAGAAAATGAAAATCGTTTCAACTGGGTTTTTTATCGATTGCGCGGCGTGTCGTTCTGGGATGAAGACTGAGGATTGAAAACCCCAGCTGGAACCCTCTGAGATTCAGGGACCTGTAACCACCGGTTACAGATCTTTAAAAACTCAAGACCCACCGTTTGCAACAGACACGAGGGTCTCGAGATTCCGGTGACCGGAATTTCAGGAAGAATAGTGATAGTAATTCGTATAAGATAAAATATATATATAATAATATAATAATGGGGAGGAGAAAGAATGAGAAAGTACCGATGGGATTAACGTTGCCCCAGTAAGTCTCCACCTGAGGATGTTGCAGAGGATCACCGTACACCTCACTGGTGCTGGTCAGCAAAAACCTTGCTCCAACTCTCTTTGCCAGACCAAGCATGTTCAGTGTCCCAACCACATTCGTCTTGTACCCATCACAGACACAGTCAAGGAAAATTCATTTTGAAAAAGGAAACCCAGAAATGAAAAACGAATTAACACACGAAATCGAAACAAGTTTGTTTGATTCAGAGAAAAAGAAACGCCAAAAGGATATAATCGTCTTGACTGGGTTGAACTTGTAATGAACAGGAGAAGCAGGGCAAGCGAGATGGTAGATCTGGTCAACCTCCAGGAGGAGCGGCTCAACGACGTCGTGTCGGATGAGCTCGAAATTCGGGTTACCGAAATGGTGCACCACGTTCTCTTTCCTCCCCGTGAAGAAATTATCCACCACTATCACACTGTCGCCTCTCTCGATCAGACGGTCCACAAGGTGAGATCCTACGAATCCGGCCCCTCCCGTCACCACAATCCTCAATCCCTTCCGTTTCAGCCCCAGCGGTACCTTACCGCCGGCTGACCCGAACCCGACCCGGTTAACATACTCGTAACTTGTCTTTCTCTGAACCGGAACGCTCAGGGGGAAATCGGACCCTAAGATCGGGTCACGGTAGCTCTGCGTGTACGTCGCCGGACGGGTGTAGGGAAAAACGGTGAACACCAAGGTGGCCACCGCAATGCCTACGAGCACGAACACGAGTCTCTGTTCTCGGAGCACGTAGCGAATCGGTCGCATCATCTCGAACCATGGCTTGATCGGTTTCGGCGAGTAGGCATCGGCGGCCGGGTGATCAGTCTCATGACGCCTGTAAATCAGCTCTGATCCCATTCTCCTCTCCCCTTCTCTTCTCTGCTCAATTCAAATTCAAAACCGGAAGTAAATTTTCAGATCGATTACAGACACAATGTATATCATGCGTTTTCTTCGTCGGGTAAAATGGCCGGAGACTCGCTGGGGAGCTGAAAATTTGCGGGTTCTCTGGAAACGCCTCTTGGGGTTTTTGGGACTTGGAAAGCGCAGTGAGATTAAATAAGAATTAGGAGTTGGGTGTTATTACAGAAATGCCATCGTCTTTTTTCTTCAAAATAGAATAATTTTTTTTTAATTAAACTAAAATGGTTGTCTTAATTAGGTAGAGTTTAGGAATTAATTTTAGGTTAATAAAATTAATTATTCATTAATTAAAGTTGTTTGAATTTTTGTTACTTTTTCTAAATTTTTAATTAATTATTTAATAATTATTATTAAAAAATCTAATTTATCAATTAAAGGTGTTTGGTATTTTTGTGTAAGACATTAATTCCCGAATTTATTATATATATATATATATATTTACATATAAATTACAAGAGAATGTTACACTAAATCCAAATTCAGAATATTTATATACTAAAATAAATATCTTCCCCGTTTGTTTTAATTTTATGATTAATTACTATTTTAATTTTAATTATATATTATGGTCCAAATTAATTCAGTTTTATTTGTTTTAATTAACTTCTTAAACAAACCCATCTTTAGTTCAGACAATATTTAGTCCATAAATATTTCCAAATATTAATTCGTTAAATTTAATTTAATTTTTTTTAGTTTTAACAAAAATATTTTTTTGTTTTTTTTCAAATACTAATCACATCGAATTCTACAATTAACTAAATTAATTACTGTTAATTTTTTTCCTGTTAAAAATAATTATTGTGGGGTAGAAATTAATAAATTAAATTAAATTTAATTATGTTTAAATATTTGTAGAAGGAGGGGTATTTTTGTAATTACAGTACAAGTTAACTAAGCTGTCCCAATTCTAGGAGTAGAAGAAAACGCCCAGAGGAGGAAAAGTCAATAAAAACGCCTAATCCTACTCTTTAAACACCATTTCGTGCAACTGAAAGTCACTGAAAAAAAGCCTTATTTGGACCGTTATTTTTATTTATTTATTTATTTATTTATTAAGAAAATTAATATTTTATATATTATTATAATTATATATATGTGTGTGTATATATATATATATATATATATTGGGTGCTTTTTTTTTTTTAATACTTTCAATTGACTCATTATTTTAAAAATTGAGACCACTTTACGTGTGCATGAAAAGGGGGAGTGATCCTGTTTGATGAACAATGAACTTGGATCTTTATTTATTTATTTATTCACTTTATATGATTACAAACAAAAAAAAAATTGTTTAATTTCAATTTTGAGGAGAGAGAAATCTTTAAGTTATTTGAGAATTTAAATTTAGTAAAAATTATAAGTTTTTTGTAAAAGTAATTCTTAAAAATTTAACGTTGTAAATTTATGATGTTAAATTGTTTATTACTAAAAATTTATGAGTTTTTACATATCTATCAGGGTGAGTACAATCATGTTAGTAGGTAATTCATGTAAAGACTCAAAATCGTAAGGAAATGAATATATATTGTAATAGGAGAAATAAATAAGAGTTTAGGGTTTATATTTCTTACATTATAAATTGAGATGTCCAATAAGACTACAAAAATATTCTTTTAAAAAAGTTTCAATAACGAAATAAATAAAAAAAACACGCATTTAAAAATTCGATAGAGTTAATCTCCGCTGGGCAACTCTAATGGGATGCGAGAGACAACTTTTATTCGGAATCTTCTTACTGTTCAAGATTTTGATATTGGTCTTCTTGATCTGAAATTATTAAATGAGAGGAATGAACTACATTAGCTAGTAAAAATATCACACTTAACATCAATATGGAAAATCAAATATTGATAAAAATCGTAAAATAACTAATAGAACTATTAATCTATTTTCAAATAAATTTATTTAATATAAAAGCCATTTCCATATTTACCCTTATGAGTTTTCAAAATCGACTTATGAAGACAATAACCAAGATAACACTTTATGACACATTTTAATGAACAATAACAGCAAACTTACTTTCTTACCTGTTTACCCGTTCCTCTGGGAGGCCATAAAGATCCCTCTACACGTGGACCCAATATTTAATTTATCAATTTACCCGATCATCCTCATACCCCGTCCGGTAATAAACGCCAAACATACCACGCCTCAATACCCCGTTCGGTATGAAGGTGAACTTATACCTCCCAACTCCTTCTGGTATGGGACTTCTCAACCCCGTTCGACTGAGATAATATCCACGGTGGCAACACCCTGCTTGAACCCTAAAATTGGCCGAAATGAGTTCTGGATACCGATTTTGGATTTCTATGGTATTTTTAGGTACGTGACAAGTGTTTTGGATTCTGCAAAAAAAATTTAAAAAATTCGGTACCTGTTAGGAAGCGTAGTAAACAATGCGACGTACCAAAACACCAATTTGGATAAAGATCTCTCACCATATTCTCCGTTACGGTAAATTGGGGCTTAATAATCGATAATTGTGTATTTTTATAAAAAAATTAGAGAACTCTAAAAATAATTACAGGTCACTAGAGGAGGCATAATTAGTTAGTTCACCATTGTTCTGATTTTCTATTTATTTTCTTGTACTGCTTTGTTTGCTTGTTATTATACGGTACGTGTTCTAAACTTATATTTTCTATAGCCTTATCGATTTATCTGGTTTATTTAGCTATATACTATCAGCATTAGTATAATTTTATATGATCTGTGAATATAAAACGAGCTATTGGTATTGTGTGGTTAATTATTATATTGATAGAAACCTATATGTGAAAGATTTATTTGGTACCCTAGAAATGGCGGACAGGCCCGATATATAGAGAACTCTACTATGAACGTTACTTCAGTCGGATGAGACTGGAAAGTCTCTTACCAGTAAGGTTTAAGAAATATGGTTCACCCTCATACCGGATGAGGTATCGAGTTGGTGGAATGTTTGGGTGTCCATTACCGAATGAAGTATGGAGACGACTGATTAATTGTTTAATTAGATATTGGGTTCACAAGTAGGAGAATATCCCTATGGATCTTCAGGGGTATCAATACAGGGGTAAAAATGAAAAGTAAACGTCTCTTATCATCATATATGTGAAAATAAAAAGGGTATGAATATGAGTTTTCATAGATTACTTTTGAAAAACTTGTTATGTAAATATGTAAATGACTTCCCTTATATTAAATAAATTTACATTAAATTAAGGGTTCTATTAGTTATTTTTTCAATTTTTTTACCAATTTTTAATTTTTCCTATCTGTGATTACTATGATATTCTTACTGGATTAGTGTAGTTCACCCATTCATTAACTATTTCAAATCAAGATGACCAAAATTTAGATCTCGATCAGCACGAGGGTTGTGAGTAATTCACCACCTAAACTCCATTCAAGTACTAGTGAAGATGGTTCTAAAATATTTATTTATTCGTTTTGCTTTAATTACCATTTATCTTTTAGAATGGATATTCTCATATCCCTATTAGGTATTCTAAACTATTGTGTAAGGAATATAAACTCTAACTCTATTTTTCGCTTTCGTATTTAATTTATGACTTTATTTCCATTTAAGTTCTACGTCTTTACAGAACCTATAAAACCTGAGTCAAGTGTTGAGCTTATTCCTCTATGCTCTTTGAATAGATCAGGATATCATCGATAAATACTATGAAAAACTGATCCAAAAACTACCTGAAAATCTTGTTCATCAAGTCGATAAAAATAGTTGGTGCATTGGTTAACCCGAATGGCATGATCAGGAACTCATAGTTCCCGTACCGAATTTTGAAGGTCATATTGGGGATGTATTATACCCTGATTTTTACCTAATGGTAACCCAAACACAAGCCAATCTTGGAGAAAACTTAAGCACACTGTAAGTGATAGAAAAAATCATCGATCCTGAGGATGGGGTACTTGTTATTAATTATGATCCTGTTCAATTCCATGTACTCAATACACAACCTCAAGGACCCATCCTCTTTTCTTGCAAACGTGACTTCAGCAGGGAGATATACTTTGTCGGATAAACTCACTATCATGTAATTCTTTGATCTGTTTTCTCATTTTTTTAATCTCAACACGACTCATACTATAAGAGGCAACTAAAATGAGTTGGGTGTCAGGCTGAAGATCTATGGCAAATTCAACTTCTCTATCCATCGACAGTCCAGATAGTTCATCAGAAAGTATATATGGGAATTATCGAACTACAGAAAACTCTTAAATGCAAATTTCTTTTTTTTTTTTAAGATTGCCTAATGTAGAAAAGAACTACTGAGTTAAAGAATCATATAAACAAGGCAGTTAGCATGAGGGATAATATCTAAAAATTTTATTAATTTGTGAAGGACTCTTCCTTAGAAAGATTGAATACAAACTTTTTATGAAAACAATTAATGGCGGTGTGATACGTCGCTAACCAATTTATCCCTTAAATTACATAAAAATCTCCTGTGTCTAGTACTATCAAATCTACACTTAATTTTCTATATGTTATTTTTACGGTACAACCTTTATATATGACATTCCTTAGTAGTGTTTCATTCCCAAGAGTAGACACAAATAACATAGAATTTAGATTTTCAGGTAACACATTCAAATTTTTTGCAAAGGCATGTGAAACAAAAGAATGTGAAGCACCAGTATTAATTAAAATATGTGTAAGGTGATTACAGATAGTGTACGTACCCTGTATCACATCCGGATTGCCTTTAACATCCTATTGGGTGAGGGTGTAGGCTCTACCCTAGATTAGAGGTCTGACCTATTTTTGATTCTGCAGGCAATCTCTCACGTAGTGTTGGGCACTTCTACATATGTGACATGTATTACTGAGTTGATAGTAGGGTCAGTCTCCATGATCTTTGTCACAGTATTGGCAAGTCCTACAACGTACTATTGTCAGGACCTGAGACTGAGCTTGAATCGCAGTATAGGTCTCTTGTTCTACTGAATCAGTGTAGTACGTACTAACCCGCAGTGTGGAACCGAGGGTCTGGAATTGCCCGCTAATGGAGAAAAGCTACGAAGGTTCCTCTCTATCAGAATATCATGCTTAATACTGATATAGAAAATCAAAGGTT